AAGGTGGGTGAAGAGGGGGGGGGGACAGGAAGGAGAGTAGGTGAAAGAGAAGGAAGGTGAATGAATAATGGAGGCGAGATGCCCACTAGAGCACCCAAAACGCACAGCCCAATTATCCCGCCGCGGTAATGACGATCGCCTTGATGCTCCCCGCAAAACCTTTCCAGGAAAGTTCTGACATTTACTCAGCGCCTGCCCCCCCCACCCCCTGCTACGCATCCACACAAACAGAGGCCACTCAATCCGGTTTGTCGACTCGGTTCGAATGGGAAAAGACGGCTTTCCTCCCGGCACAATGGCCGCCGTCGTCCTTTTTAGAATTACAAATCAATCAGGGGCTTCTTCTCGGTAGCAGCACGTTCAGTCCAAGGTTGCCCAGATTAAGGCATGAAAACAGGGGGATCAGAGGGGGGGGGGACCTTTGGTGCTCGGGCAGACTGCTAGCGAACCAGATAGGCCCCCGGTAGGCCGCTTCAGTCCAGACTCTGGGAAAAACACACAGCCATACCCGGCTCCCCCGAGGCCCCGGTCTGTGGTAATAATGGGATCAGAGCCATGACCCTCCCAGGACTCCGTAGTGCAGTCGGATATTCTATTAGTTTCCTCTTCAGTGAAAAAGAAGTCCGTGCTCAGCTACTTTTTCTCCGCTCCGAATCACATTTGTTTTACTTTTATGTAGTCTTACCAGCGACTAATCAAATTATTCAAAGTTTGCTAAGAAGATGTTTTATTAACAGTCCGGACCGAGCGGAGCACTTCTTAGTTAACGCTAACCTTTTAGTTTGGAAAACTATATACAGTGGATATCTTCTAATCTTGCCTAATGTTCTTTATGCATGCAGGGATACTGTAATCCATTAACTTGTGTGCAAAAACTCAGGGCCCATAATTGTTCCTTTTTACCATTTAATCCCGGCCCTGGAAGATACAGCAGAGATCACATTAAAATTTACATTTTCTGAATCCCCCACCCCTTGATATGGCCCCAGCTTTCAGCCCGGGCATCTCATCTGCCTTTACATAATATCAGGGCTGTATTAAAGCTACATATGGCTCTCCACAGTCTGTTCGGTGCCGATTTACATTTTCCTAATGATGTGCTTTCATTTTCCCCTCCACTATCCCTGTGTCCTTCCCCTCACCTCCAGCCCACAGCCCACTGTGATTTAAAACACATACAACCGAACCGTACTGTTTTACTGCGGGATAACACAAAGCGCGGAGCGAGACACCTTGGGCCGCCCCGGCCCCCATCTGTTGCACATCTGGAAGTGTGTGTGCGCGGCACCAATAATTGGAAGTCAATTTGTTTGAAGTTATGTATTTGGCATCTGGCTGGATTCATAAAAACTCTGGAAATCGCATTCATTTTATGGCATCCCCCCTTTTTTTTTTCCTCATCTCTCGTGCGCTCCGTTGTTAATGCACGAGGGGGCCGAGCCGGTCAAGTGACATGGGAGTTTTGCAGAACGCCGGTCAGGGTGTGGTCCTTCATATAAAAAAAAAAAAAAAAGAGCAGAAAATGGGGGCATGGATTACAGCAGCGTAGCGGAGAGAGGAAATATTGATAAGTTCCTAAGCAGTAAATGCAATGGCCAGACTTTTTTGCTAAGTTTTATAACTTCGCCTTCCACTTTGACCGCAGCCTCAGATCGTTTGTTATTTTTCCCCGAAGGGGGAAAGCTCATCCGGGGGCCTGGTTTGCCACATTTCCAGCAGCCGGGCTGACTGATTGAGAAGCAGCATGGTGTTGTTTGTCACACAGCTCTCTGAGTCACGGCTGAAAATAGATATGACACTTGATGTTTGGTGCCTCTCTTTGCCGGCTGTCATATTGTTATTCCCTCTCAAATTTCACCTAATTTGTGCACAAGTCTTGTCACAGTCCAGATCCCCCGATGAGGGCTCTTTCTTTTTTTCCTCATATATGTGGCAACGGAGTGCAATGATACACACACACACAGACTCAGAGTTTCTGCTGGGGTTTGCACAATTGTGTTGTGCACACAAGCACATTTGATTAGGCTTGTTTGTGCTCCGAGAGCGCCGAGCCTGGTGCGGAAGTATATATCTCTGTGTGTGTGTGTGTGTGTGTGAGTGTGTGTGTGTGTGTGTGTGTGCCGTTTTTCCAAAGTTAGTCACCTCAGCGGGAGGTGATTAAGAGTTGCCATTGGCAGGCTCGACAGGTGAGCGCGTTGTAGCACTCTGGCAGCCGTGGCATCTGCACAGGTGACAGCTCCCCCCACCCCCCCCCCCCCCCCCCCCCCCCCCC